AAGTTAAAAGCGGATTTCTTTCTCTTAGTATTAGTAAAGTAGTAAGTTTAATAGCGAGAGGAATACTATATTATATTTTATTATTTTTCTAGAAAGGATTAAGACTACTTATAAGGAAGTGTAAGTATAAAAGTAAAAGGTAAGAGGTAGTACCTAAGTTATAAATATAACTTAGTTACGCTTAGAAGGTACTTAAGGAAATAATAAGGTATAAGAGGTAAAGTAGAAAAGAGAGAGCTAAAGATATAATTCGATTACACTTAAAAAGTGCTTAAGGAATTTAGTAAAAGTAAATATTAGGACCTTTATAAGTAAAGTTAGTCTTTTCTAATATAATAGTATAATAAAAGTTTATTAATAGCTATAATATAAAATAGAAAAGATAGCGAGAGGAAGAGGTTCCTAAGGAGCTTTAAGAATAAGTAAGAAGGATATAGCTGCTAGCGAACTAAGCTAGTCCTAGGTTCGCTATATAACTCTAGCCTTATAGCTTTACGATATTAGCCTTACCTACGTGACTCGCTTATCGTGATTAGTCTATCACAAGTGTTAGGTACAATTTTATTAGCCTTATGTAGTTTACTAGTATATTTATATATAAAAGTATATAAAATAATACAGCCCCCTTACCTTGCTCGCTTTGTACACCGGGCCGCACCACCCCTGCTAGCTCGGGCAGTGTCTCAGCGGACGAAGGGATAACGTGCCGCTGCATCTGTGCATCGGTATATGCTCGCTTTGCTTTTCTCTCATTTCTACGATGCCTTAATCTCTGAGTACTGCGCTATCGTACTTTACTTATTCATCAGTCACAATTCTGTATAATTATTGCTCAATCTGAGCTTCTATCGACTAGGCGGTGTTGGAGCCTTTCGAAGTCCTTTGGCCCACACGCCTCAGCGTGTAACTTGCGCTTCAAAGGACCTCAGCAGAGTATCGAGAACATTGCTTGGCATATCATCAGTGACGGATTTTACGTAGGTCATTTGTTTTCGGTGTGACAGATGGGCACCTTACCTTAAGAAACGAACCGGGCCATGTTTGCGGGCAGAAGAGCCTGCACGCGTCCAGAAGGACTGAGTTTCCCTCCTATGTTAGAAGTACAGGTTTCTTTGTCAAGCTGGCTGTTGCGCCAACATGTGGCTATTCGTCAAGAACTCCATATTTGTGGGAGACCGAATGAAGACCCCTGCCGTTCAGCCAGGAGACAGCATCTCGCATTCAAGCTTACATCTCCAATCGTCTCGGCCTCGCACATGAATTCTCCCCTGCAGGCATGACATAATTAGGGTCTCCCTTCACAAAAGCGAGGGTTAATGAACATGACGAAGTGACAATGGTTCTATAGAGGACTATTAGTGAAGACTTTCTGGGTAGCTCGTAGAATCTATCTTATATTGTGCGATCTTCCGTAATAAAAAGACACCGCCACCTGATCAGGGGAACATCAATTCCTCAAGGTAAACCACACAACCTCTTTACTTAACTCCTCTACGTAACTACACAGCTACGCAATTCGATATGGCAGATGACGGAGCTCGATGTGCCCTTTGCAGGCGATTCCGACTACGCGCGCAACTGCGGCGACGCTTACCTGACCCTGAACCTGTCTGTATTACCTGCCCGACTCGCTGTCCGACGTGTAAACGATATCAACAGCTCACGAGCTTTGATACAGTTGACGGGATACCCTTAGCAACGTGTCGCGCGTGCGTTTTACGTGTTCAAGACGACTATCAGGCTCGAATAGGCAAGCCATTGTCTGATTCTCCAGCTGCTCGACAATTCTGGTTTCGACGTGGGCAGCGAGCAGTCGAGAGAGCTCTGCGGAATCGATTCAGGCTAGAACAACAGAAGGCACGTTGGTTCGAGGGGTTCCACGGGAGCGAGACGTGGCAAAGAAGTCCGTACCGGCAGTGGGAGGGTTACACGGAATCTCGAGAGAATACGGATCCGCAAGAGGGTTACAGGAATCCGGAGGGCTACAAAGATAGGGAGGATACACAGGAGGATCAGGAGGATCAAACACAAGAGGATCCGGATACTCGAGAGAGCTCTACAGACCTAGGAGAGCCTTTACAAGAGCCTCCGGAAGTGCCTTCAACTCAGATATGCTCTTCGTGTAATCAAAATAAGCCTTTACCCGACTTTAATAATAGGTTCCTTACCTGTAACAACTGTTGAGAGCGAAACAAAAGGAGTAATAAAGCTCGAAGGGATAGGAAAAATCAAGTGATATAAAAGTAAAGGCACGCTTACGCGTTGGATCGGTACGAGCTTACGAGTGACGATTCGACTTAATTACTTCGACTAACATTTAAAGGACATCCTTTTACCGTAGGTTTCCTTTAGAAACGTGATGATTCACTTATATAGTTAAAAAGCAGGGTTTTTAGCCCTACTTAGAATAACATTAAGACAACATCTTTTACAGTAGGTTTCCCTTAGAAATGCGATGATTTACTTATACATTTGACTGTAATAAAGTAGGGCACAGGTAACAGGCTTAGAATAACATAAAGAGAACATCCTTTTGCAGTAGGCCTCCCTTATAAATGCGATGATTTAGCTATGAACTAGACCGTTGCGAAGCGAGGTTCCCTGGCCCCGTAGCTTGCGGAGGGCCGCCGGGGAGAAGACCTCGTATAAAGTGCCCAGATTGCTCACATTTACCAAGTATCCAAACCCGTACAATGCTTCGCAGTTGGGTGTGCTACAAGATACTGTCCATTGGGAATGCGCACTGAACTGGGAAGCTATGATATTTCCATGATGAGGAGTGTGCTGCCTGCATGCATGCGATTTTTCAATGGACCCAGAGGTATATGCGGAGGAGCGAAAGACTCCCATACATGTAGCCCTTTAGTCATCCGTGTCGCGTCTTGTTCCGATCCAAGTCCTCGGTCCTCATGGCTATGCTCGCATTTGTCGTACTTGAGCCTGGCTGGACTTTGCTGGTGGCCCCAAAGACTCTACAGCAGGCTTTCTTGTTTTGGCCGCTAGCTTTGTGCAGTCTTGGGGGTTATGACGGAGCTTTGGCACGATGATGACTGATACAGTTCGACCAAGAGGTCAAGGTCGAGGGGTAAATTTGGAATCAGTTGTTTTCCAAGCCTTCTTCGTCGTTCGGTGCAGGCTTCTAGCGCCGCGCCCGCCCACATAAGGCTGAGGATTAGTTTCCTGGGATCCGGCTGATGACCCGCTTGCTAATGCTGATTACAATGATGCAGTGTGGTATCTGGGTATCCAACAGCATCCAGCGGCCGAGCTGACAAATAACACAGAACAGAACAACGGAGGAGCACCACAATCACCACCACACCCACCGGCAGGTCACCTGTTCCATGAGTGAAGGGGGATCTAGTCTTTGTCTGGTTGCCGCAAGTAGCTTGTCTCCTGGTTTCTGTTGAGTTAGGCAGCTGTATTTGCTACAGATAACTGCCAGTAATTTGTTGTTGCTGCTTCTGCTTCTGCTTTGCTTTTGTCTGGCCTGCCGAAAGACACAGAGAACATTGGAAAGTACCTAGTTCTGTTCTCTTCTCTGATCTCTAGTTCTCCCAGAGCGAAAGATGGGGCATCTGCAAAGCATCAACTGTCAATGTTGACTCTTTCTCGGTGTGCTGTCTCCCTTGTTCGGTTGTGTGGAGCTTTTCTTGAACACGAACATGCACAGGCATAGAGTACCTGGGTGGTCTGCAACGAGGTACATTAACCTCCGTACGGGCCTGCTCTCTACAGTATTTTCAGTCAGGGTGCAATATTAGTCAGTCTTGATCGGATCGGCGGTGGATCTTCGCCTGTTCTGTGCCACCACAACCACAACTACAGCTAGTACCTCTACCCCTGCTTTGGCGCAATCCCGACCCAGAAGACATGCCTGCATGTGCATATTCATTGTGCATGAAGGTGCAGGTTCATCGCTAACTCCGTCTTCATCTCACTTTCGTCTTTACACTGTGCCGTGGCATGTTTCTCATTCTAACTCTCATCGTCAACCTCGCCCAGCCTCCACGTCCTGTTCTGTCTGTACTGTGCGAGTATACTGGTTCCAACCCCAAAAGAGTATGTCTATATCAACCAGCACCAGAAAACTGCATAGCACGAACGGAGGGATTTAATGGAAGACTATGGCAGCCTGGATGGCTTTACATTTCTTTCTTATGTGTGCCTGCGACTCCTATACATCCAATCACAGCTGCTCCCATTTCTCCGGCCTGTATCCTGTCCGTCTCGCCCGCCCCGAGCTCTAAACATTGTAAGGATATAAAAGCCGCTTCTTACTATCCGTCGTCTCTCTCTGGGCTAGTTTCTCTTCCTCGTTATTCGCCGATCTGGGTTCTTGCACACTTCGGTAGTCTACACATGAATAGTTCCATACCGCAATCACCGCTGCACCATGGCTGTGCCCATCATAAGCCCCTGATACATTTGCTTTGGGGTCGTTGCTCAAAGCTCATCTTCGGCAAGACCTTCTGCTTCTGCCAAGCGACGTATCCACATCTCAGATCTCGTTGTGAAAGCAAGTCTACTCTGCTAGACTTGACTCCTTAGCCCTAGCGGGCATCGCCCCCCAACATGGAAGCTGCTCGATGTAACTGGCAGGAAGGTAGGTCAGCCATACCGCCGCCATGGACGGTCGCTAACGTTGTTTTCGCCCATATTCGTCTTGTCAACTCTGTATAATTCTCACTGCCACCTTTCCCGCATCTCGCATTTTACCGCCCCCTAATTGTCTGTTCAATTCCGCCATTTATCTTCCGATCCGGGTACGATGAATGTTAATATTGTCTTTACTCTTTCTGTTCCAAGAAGTCCGAAGTATATAGAGGAGCCTGGGCCTCGGTTTCAATTCATGGTTGAAGCAGAACCTCGCTAGTCTTCATCCAGATCGTCGAACACAAATTCTGCATACATCTTCATCTCTTGACCGATAGCATATTCCGTTACGCACTGCTCCTGCTTTCACAGGACTTTATAGGTATTCGGTAGCGGCCGGAACTATGTCTTCTCGACATTCTGGATCTTCCCGACATCGATCGCACCAGTCTAGGAGCAATGATACGAATGCAGAGGAAATGATCGAACAGGTCAAAACCATCGTAACACAGCTAAACGATGTCGTTGCATCGAATCCTCATGATTGGGAAACCTACCTCCCATCTGCCCGGTCCGCCTTGGCTGCCCTTGAGCATGTTCGCTTCTTCCGTAATCCTCAGCGTTATGCCGAACAAGTCTGGATTCTTCATGGACTCCAGGACTATGCTTTTCATGATTCCGATTCCGGATGTATCCCCGAGATTGCAGACTTTTGCCAGACATCATGGCTACGAATTCTTAGAAACTACCCAGAGAATGTGGAAACCTTGACAGGTGGGTTAACTTCACAAACAAATGGATATCAATTAGCCGCAAGGGCCGTCATGTTGGCCTCGCTAACATCCATATCTTGCAAGGTCTTGGAAGCAATTGGCTCCAGAGAGCTCAGGCAACACTTGCCAGAATTCAGCGTGAGGAGTGTAACGACTCTTCAAGTCAAGGTAGTGGTCAAGCAGGTAACCATTTCAAGCACTCGCGTTACCCTCATTGTGGAACCAGATGCTAACGATGGCAGTAGCATCTCCACCCACCGATCCCAGGAGACAAGGGCCTCTTTACGTCGAAGCTCGAGGATATCTACAGCCTGCTGTAGACTTCTATGCTAGAGCCGTCAGATCTTCAGATGCCCTCGGCAGAATCTCAGGCGACATCTTGGCATCGGTGAGTATTCCCATCCCCAAATTCTACAAGGCCAGACATAACAGAATGAAGGCTGCAGAGTCGCAGATGTCCCTAGGAAATGTAACTGCATCCCCAGGTGACGAGCGTTGTTTCACTCAAGCCATCCGTTATCTTCGCCGCGCTGATGCTATTCCTGGGTACACGTTGTCGATCTACCTCGAGCAGTATTTGAATGACTATGGAAGATATGTTTCGTAAGACAGATTTGCAATAGCGGGAGGGAGCGATTCGGAAGGATATAGATGGTATAGGCCTATACTATTATAGCTATCGGGTTCCATACAGGCACGAGATGAGAGATTTCTTCAAGACGCTCCTTACAGCCTCATGCTGGCACTTCCATCATCAGCTATGTCAACCAATCTATAACGATCTCAGCTTAGACTTTAAACCTCGCATCTCCAATACATAGCTACGTGAGCAAAATTCCGTATTGGAAATCAACAGGACCATGAGAGCCACGTCCTTAATGCAAAGTGATACATACGTGATCAGGGGCCATGATCTAGGTAAGGTCATAAGTAAATCTAGGTACGTCGTTTGGGGTGCCTTAATCAGGTACCTGCGCATGTGAGAAGAGGTGGCGTCGTATATCCACTCCGCTACCGCTAAAACCAGACAGTCCACGTGGTCTGCTCAGGCGCCATGATGACGGGAGACTATGATCTAGCATCAGCAGGTAGCCAGGCCCTTTTGAAGGCGCATGGGAGGGCTTCACTAGGCCACCGACTTCTAATTTCCGCCCGATTCTAGCCCCCATAGGCGGCACAGACCTATTTCGCTGCAGTCGCTGGAAATGTCCTGCGTAGAGCAAGACGCTGAGACGTGAAACGCCCCCGAATAACACGAGGCTGAACAACCCTATGTAAGGGGGACGGTCATCAGTATTCCATGCCGTGGGAATGTGGAAGATGCAGCACGCATTTTAAACCCGAATAGTCGGGTAGCTCAAAGGGGTAGTGTTCCATAGGGACTGTGGGTGTTCGGTTCATGTGCTGAAGTGATCGCAGGAGATCTGTGTACGTGGGTCCCGACCCCGACAAGTACCTGCCTGCCTGCCTAAGGGACCTAAGGTACGGAAGAGGGAGGACAGTAGGTCTCGTCTACCCCCCTGATTCTACTAGTATTCTACGCTTAATTTAGAAACTATCTACTATCCTAAAGGTCCTCCTTTCTATAGTTAAACTTTCCTAATTCACTCTAGTATTATATTAATAAACCTATTTATTATATTAATTATTATCTTATTCTCTTAGATATCTTATATAACTTTTTTTAAGTCTTTAAGCTTCTAACTTTTATATAAATTTCTATTTTAAAGCTTTTACTTTAGTATTCTTTAGATATTTTTAATTAGATTAAGATTAAGAGAATAAGAAAGCTTTTAAATCGAATAAATATAATACTTAACTTAAATAGTATTATAAAAATTATAATTCTAAGAAATATTAACTTTCTTATAAATATTATTATTATTTTTAATATAAAAGAAATCTCTTAGTTACTTAAATATCTCTTTTAATAGTTCTCTTAAGATTTAATTTATATACTTCTTTTATATAAAGCTTTTTCCTTTTTTTATAAGATATAAAAATTAGCTTTAATTTAAATCTATATTTAATTATTACTTATACTATAACTAATTTATAACTTAAATAGAAAGTAAATTAGATATAATTTAATTATTAATATTCTCCTTATTTCTATAGTATTTTCTTTTAGTATAAGAGATTTATTTATATAATTATTTTATCTATAAATTATCCTTTTCTTTAATATTCTTTAGATTAATCCTAATTCTTAATTATAAAGCTCTAGTATTTTAATTTATTCTCTTTTAAGATAAAAGGTTTATAATTAAGGATATAATAATAATAATTATACCTTATAAAAGCTTAAAGTAGCGTTTAATTATAATAGCTAAGATTAAATTCTTTACGAATCTTTATAAGGCTTAGTTAATATTAATTAAAGTAACTTATAAACTAAGTAATTATCTCTTAAATCTATTTTTTAAAAATACTTAAAAAAGCTTTAAGAGGTTTTACTAATTAATTAAGTTTATTAAGGAAATATTATACTAAAGAATATAGAATTCTAAGCTTTTATACTATAGTATATTAAAAATAGCTTTTATTAAGAAGGATTTTAAATCGCACTTAAGTTAAAGTATTATATATCTAAGGTATTTTAATAATATCTACTTTATATAGATTATATAAGAATCTTTATTAAATTAGTGAAAGTAGTATAAGTTCTATAGAATTCTATATAGCCTTACCGCCTAGCAAGGGTAGACGAGACCTACTATCCTCCTCCTTCCGTACCTAGGCTCGCTAGGTAAGCTCGTAAGGTAGGAAGATACGGAAGTATGAAAAGGGGTTTTCAGTAGGTCTTATCTACCCCCCTGTTTCTACTATATTCTATAGCTATTTATAATAATAATCTATTATCTAGAAAGTCTCTCTTTTCTTAATCTAATCTTTTTTAGTCTTTTAGGTATTATATTAATAAATTTATTAATTATATTAATAGATATTTTATTTTCTTAAATATTTAGTATTATTTCCTTTAAATCTTTTAGAGTTTAATTACTATAAAGATTTCTATTCCTTAGCTTTTACTTTAGAATATATTAGGTATTCTTAATTAGTTTTAAGTCTAGTAAGTAAAAAGGCTAATTAATCAAGTATATATAGTATTCTAAATATATAGTATTATAGATTTCTTAGTTTTTTTATATATCTATTTTCTTATAGACTTTACTATTATTCTTTATATAAAAGAAATCACTTAGTTATTTAAATATCTCTTTTAAAGGCCTATAAAATATTTAATCCGTATACTTTTTCTATATAAATCCTTTACTTTCTCTATTATATAAGTAAAAGTAAATCTTCGATTTATAATTATATCTAATTATAGCTTATACTATAACTGATTTATAACTGGAATAGAAAGTAAACTAGATATAATTAAGTCTTCTTCTTTCCTTATATTTCTAAAGGACTTTTCATTTATAAAGAAGATCTATATAAGTAATCGTTTTATCTATAAACCTTCCTTATCGCTAGTACTATTTAGATTTATCGTAATTAGTAATTATAAAGCTCTAACGCTTAAGTTTATTTACTTTAGATATAAATAGCTTATAATTAGGTATATAATAATAGTATTTGTATTATTTAAAAGCTTAAAGAAAAGTAATATCTAAGTAATTAAGGTCGAATTACTTACGAATCTAATAGAGAGATTATATTTGTCGATTATAGTAGCTTATAAACTACTTAATAATCTCTTAAACCTTTTTAGTTAAGACCTTTAGAGATAAGCCTAAAGGCTTTCCTTATTAATTAAGTTTATTAAAGAAATATTAAGCTAAAGAGTGTAGAATACTAAGTTTACGTACTATAGCTTATTAAGAATAGCTCTCTTTAAGAAGAGTCTTAAAGCGTACTTGAGTTAGAGTTTCATATATCTAAGGTATTTTAATAATATTTAGTTTATATAAATCTATAAGGGAGAGTTATTAAATCAGTATTAGAGGTATAAGTTCTACAAGCTTTAATAACTCTTACCGCTTAGTAAAGGTAAACAAGATCTATTATAAACCTCTTTTCGTACCTTACGAAGTTAAGCGACGAGAGTAGGTCGCTAGTAAAGTAAATTTACCTAAGGACAGAAGGAGGTAGAAAGTAAGTCTTATTTACTTATACTAGGTAATAAGTATTATTAAATGTTATAGAACTTATACCTCTATTATTAATTTAATAATAACTCTTAATTAATTATATATAGTAAATATTATTAAAATATATTAAATATATAAAACACCTACTTATATATACTATAAAACTCTTCTTAAAGAGAGCTATTCTTAATAGAGCGCTAATTATAAACTTGAAATCCTATATTCTTTAGCTTAATATTTCCTTAATAAACCTAATTAATTATTAAAGCCTTTAGGTATAACTTTAAAGATCTTAGATACTTAAGTTTAAGAGATTATTAAGTAGTTTATAAGCTACTTTAACTAAGCTACTTTAACTATTAATAATTAAGCCTTTAAAAGATCCGCGAGTATTTTCACTTTAAGTGTTATAATAGAACTCTTTTAAATACCTTCACTTAATATAGCTATTACTATTATACTCCTAACTATAAGCTATTTCTTTTTTATACGAATAAAATAAAAAGGTAGAGCTTTTTTATTACGAATTAGGACTACTTAAAAAAGTACTAGTAAAAAGGAAGGTAAGTTATAGATAAGATAATTACTTAAACTAATCTCTTATAATAATAGAAACTCTTATAAGCTTAGAGAGAATACTAATAATTAAATTATATTTAGTTTACTTTTTACTTAAGTTATAAATTAGTTATAGTATAAGTAATAATTAGATATAACTATAAGTTAAAGATATATTTTATATTTTATAAGAGTAAAGGTAAAGGATTTATATAAGAGAAGTATATAAATTAAATCCTTTAAGAACTATTAAAGAAGATATTTAAGTAGCTAAGGGATTTCTTTTATATTAAAGATAATAATAATATTTATAAGAAAAAGAATATAATTAAGAATTATAGATTATATAATACTATTTAATTTAAGTATTATATATATTTTATTAATTAGCCTCTTTATTCTCTTAATTTAAACTTAATTAAAAATATTTAAAGAATTCTAAAGTAAAGACTATAAAATTAGAACTCTTATAATAATTAGAAATTAAAGAACTTAAAAGTAATAATACTAAATATCTAAGAAAATAAAATTTCTATTAATATAATTAATAGATTTATTAATATAATACCTTAGAGACTTAAGAAGGTTAAGTTAAGGAGAGAGGGACCTTCTAGATAGTAAATTATTATTATAAATAGCAGTAGAAATAGCAGAAAACAGGGGGGTGAATAAGACCCACTTTCCACCCCCTTCCGTACCTAAGGTCCATGTAGCTTAGCCGAAAGCCGTCAGCCGTCAGGCGCGAGGCGCGAGGCGCCCCAGACCCGAATGCCTGCGGAGCTGAGCAAATGGTTAAGGTACGAGTACAGTACCGTCACCGTCCCAGAGTCAGTTCCATTTGGTTTATCTCACCTCGCCACCAAACCGCCCTCGCCCTCTATCTTTTCATCATCGACTGCACTTCGGGACGTTCACTGGTTCGCACTAGCCCGCCATCATGCTCACAGAAAGAGAGCTACAGATAAGCCCCATCGTGCAGGAATCGGTCGCGCACAACACCAAGGTTCGTCTATCCTGGGCTCAGTGGCAACTTTACCCGGTATCGCTGTCTCTATCTCCACGATACCATACCACATCTCCCCATCTCCATTACCTCTCCTCCATATGTACCAGTCTTCGCTTTACGCCTCGGGCTCTCACCCCATCCCAAGGTCATCTGCCAATGCAACAGACCCCCACCTTCCTTTGGCGCAACCTCAGCCTTCTTACTAACTCCCAGAGCACTTACTCACTCCCAATCAAATTACTAACTTGTCTATTTTGTTATCACAGACCCTCGCAACCCTCCGCAATCTCACAGCCTCACTCTTCGGTATTGGCGCCGGCATTTTGGGTCTTGAATCCTACCCAGGATTTCTCTTCTACTTCTTCTTCACAGTACTCACTTCTGCTCTCGTATATGCATTCCGCGTTCGCCCGGGGATTGTTCAAGAAACAGAGTCTCAAGGCACAGCAGGGGTTGAGAGATATTTTAAGGGAAGCTTGGAGCTTTGGACAGGAGGCTTGATAGAGGGGCTGAGTGGCTTTGTTTTGACGTGGACCTTGTTCTATGGGCTTGTTCGGGCGTAGAAGATTGGGGGATGGACTCTGGCGGTGTAGGATAAAACGGGAAGCATTTCCAGATCGTGACGTTCAGAACGGCGTTATGGTTCTCTTACTACATCAGGTGTTGGAAGGGACGAATGTTACCAATACTTGGACTTGGACTTCTGATTGTGTTGACCTGACTACAAACTAGAAATGAAGCCTGGCATTTGTGACCGACCTATATTACTGCCAATAGTAATGAAGGAGACGTTGGGGATACGTTATAAAAACATCGCTCAATGATCTATACACATCTGGCTAGTCTACGACTTCAACGACTCTGCCAGCGAACCCATCAAGACCAGCTACACCTTTCTCGCCCCTCTCGGACCCATAGTACAGCCCATGACCTCCTCCTGGCATAACTAAAACCTGAGACCCCAGCTCTATCCACTCGCGACTTGTCAGGAGCTCAAATGTAACGTCGGTGATGCCATCAAAGCCAAAGACCAGTGGCTCTAGTTCCTGCTCCTCGACCTCGAGACTGTCATCCAAGCCAAACAAATCGTCGGCTTTGTCCTCCTCAGTTCTGCCGCTAAGGTCATTTTTTACCTGGGACACTACTTTTAAAACTTTCGCAGCGGCCCGGATGCTAGCGATATACACGACGACTAAGCTCCCAGCAGTGACGGAATTGATGTCACTGTCTTCAAAAGATGCGGTAAACCCACTTGCAGCCTGTAAGGATTGACCAGTGTCTAACATGTGTTGACTGGGAATGGCTATGACAAGTCCCTTTCTCACTCGAGGTTGTGTGTCCGGAGGCCGTTCGAACGGTCCATTGGAGACTTCTCCTAAAGGAGTATCGAAAACTATACCGACAGTGCCTACCTGGCCTGGTTGTAGTGTATGGACTGGGAGTCGCAGGTTCCTCAGACTGACGACATGGGCGTTGAACCATTCCCCTTTCGATACAGTTCCTGAGACTGCAATATTAGAAGCTATCCGGGAAAGTTCGGTTGTTGATGGGTGAGAAAAGGACGTTCCAAGTTTTGGCGATGGTGTTGTAACTGACTGCCTCGACGGTGTCTCGAACTCATCCGACTCTGCTGGAAATGGTCCGATTACCACTAGATTGCCCACGGACAATGTACCAAATCGTAGGTGACCTGCAACTACCACTCCAGCATCAGGGGTTCTGTCTTTTCTCGAAGCTAGCGGCTTCGGAGAAGCTGGGAATCCAAACACATCCTCTATGTGGAAAAGACAAGAGGGCTGCTCGGGGTTAAGAGCTGGTCCGACGAAATCATACGCCGTAGGAGTCGGAGGCAGCGGCAGATTTTGCAGCAGTGAATGCAAGGACTGGATGCCTGTTCCTCGTGCCGCACTGGTCATAACAATGGGTACGATGGATGTTAAATCCCCCAAGCAATTCATTTTCTCTACAAGCTCGCGAATTTGGTCTTCATCACCTAGGCTACGTCAGTACCAGACAGTCCCGAAAATTCAATTGAGACTTGTCAAATTTGTGTGAGGTGTGGCCAATCCAGACGGCAATCCTTTTAACAGGCACTTACTTTTTCGAGGGAGTTTATTGAGCTCTGCTTCTTCTACTGTTCTGGCCTGGTCTGGTGGTATAATGGACGGAACCCGACCGGTTGATTTGACGATCGAGAGTATTTTCGAAAGACTCTGCCTTAAGCTCGTCTTAGAGGCCAGGTCAAGCCTTCGAGGAGATTAGCATCATTACACACATCTTTCTATGATAGGAATTTTGGGTCGTCGAGAATGGGGATGGTTGTGTAAAGAACATACTTGGTGATCACAATAGCAAGTGGACGGTCGAGCTTCAGGCATAGTTCGAGATGCGCTTTACCAAAGTCCACGCAAAAACCAGCTGCCGAGGATTCTTGTCCCACATCTCCTACAGGAACGCTACCATCACGATGGTCGGCGGCTATGCAAAGGACAATCCAATGTGGTGCCCATCCGATAAGACCTCGAACAATAGTTCTTCGATATCGCCAATGCCCAGCAGAGTCCGAAACAAATACCAAACGGCCAGTTCTTGAAAGCAAATGTAGATCGGTCCACGTATTTACGTTAGCAGAAGCGTAATTGATGACTTTCTCCTCGTGATAACCAAGGAGCTCCTGAGCAACGGAACTGGTCACACCCGAAGCTATCTCGTGCCGATGTTTAAGGAGACTGAGTCTGCTTTTACCTCTCCCATTGTCCAAGGTTGCTGTGGATAAAGTACCAAGTAGGCTTGATTTTCCAGATGTTGTAGGTCCTGTGAGCGTGATGCGCAACTGCTCCGTCTCCCCACCACCAGCTTCCCGTACTGTACAAGCCTGGCTGTCGAGCTGATGGGGGGGATGACTCTGGTGTTTAGTAAACGCACAAGGATTTGGCTCAATCTTCGGTGTGGTGTCTATCTCCCCTGGACCTAGATTCGGAGATACTAGGGCCTCAGCGACCCAAAGCTGTGCCTCATGACGTAGAATATCAAGCTGTTTATCAGGTCGCTGCAGTCGCTCGGCTTTCCTCTTGTCTGGTTCTGGTCTCAGCGCATTTTGCGATTCAGAATTCGAAAGCGGATCTTGCCATTCGCATTCGCCAACGACGACCATTCTGACAATTTCCACGTTACAGCCCAGGCTTGCGGCCATAGCTCGTAGATTCACCAAGCTCTCGTTCATCTCATCCTGAGTCAATCCTACGAAGGTTCCGTCGTCAGAAACGCCAATCTCGTACAGTGCTCCACGACTCTGTTCTAGTCCAGTAAGTAATTTGGCAGGCTTTACAGGAGTTCGCAATCCGTCGCTTGCATCAGGAAGTTTAGGGAGTACGAGTTCGCTGGTGGAGACGTCATGGTATGGAGATGATTGCTGCAAACGCCATAGAAGCTGAGTAGTAAGTTGCTCGAAGCGATGTTGCCTGGATTGATTTGAAGGTGCCAAAACTGGGCCTGAGTCAGTTGTTGCGTCCTGAATGGAAGTGTGCTTTTTGCGATAGGACCCCGAGGTATTAGAACCTGTGGATGATCTACTATCTAAGAAAAATCAGCACAAGATCGTGAAGTGTATAGTTGAGACACATGGCACTCGTAACATTGTCTCTGGGCGGCAGTAGCAGCAAAAAGTTACTCATACAGTTTCGCCGCGGTCTCAGTAACAAATGGAGCTTATACTCGGTAGGTCCGTCTTGTGGCTCCGCTTCAAGTTTTGTAACACCATGATCTTCCAATCGCGCGGAAGACGGGGACGCGAAGGTCACTGAAGGGCCTTTTGGCTGAGGTGTGGATGCTTTGGGCGTATCCGTCGGCGTTAGCCATGGGGACGATACCCTGGACGGCTCTGTCTCGTAAGTGAAGATGCTAGCCATGCTGAAATATCATGCGATACAAATTCAGACGTCCTCTCGATGGGTTTTCGAATTATAGCTCCTCTGTCTATACACCTTACAAGCCTTACAATGTTCCCATGAATTGCCGCCGTTCTTCTTTTGTTGCTCGCGCATGCAGTGATAATGACCGTGTGTCCGTATGAGCGTAGTGTTTCCGGAAACGCTGAGACATTCGTAGAAGCATCTTGAGGACTATTGGTAGTGCGAACGAAGTGTGCTGTGAATGGTTTGGATGGCTTCCTTGTTTCCAAGTTAAGTTAGTTGCTGAGAACACATCATGATTATCTCTTATTTTGTGGCTTGTTCGTTGGTAGGGTGATATTGTAATGGGGATAGCAGTCTTGGAAAGGGGAGAGGGAGTGTGGATGATATCGATGTTCGCGATAATTTTGGAGAGTAAGAAGAAGCTCAATGACCGGGATGTAACAAGAGTCATCGGGGAGATCATTTGAGACCTGACTCCAGCGGCTGATTCACGGGTAAGTGGCGAGCGGTAAGCGATAAGCGCGCTGTGTGTGCCTACCTAGGTTCCTCCCCAGGTAGGGTAGCTGCCGAGACTGAGACGAGACTGGACAGTGGAGAGTTAGACTTGGCCAGCTACCTATTGAGCATACCAGGTGTTCCCGTCGTTTACCTACCTAGGTAGGTACAGGTCCATCTCGTCCCTTTCATCTCTGCATAGCAGAGCAAGGTGGATTAAACTAGGTACTCCGGTGGTTTCTTAAAGGCGCAAGCAGAGTGAATCTATCACAGAATAGCTAGGTAGTTTCTCACTAGACGGGGCTAGACCGTGAGGTAGGTACCTGCCTAGGGTATAAGTAGGTACTAGCCGGTCCACCTCCTGTTTTACTCAGGGCTCGCGTATAGTTAAGGTAAGTAAGTGTTACAAGTAAGTAAAGTATTATATTAGAAAATATACTTAAACTTTAAAAAAAGTACCTTATAAAAATTAAATAAAATTATTATAAAAACTATAACTAATATTTATTTAATTTTAGAACTATAACTTATAATAAAATAAAAGATAAATATATTAATAAATAAAGAGTATATCTAATAGTATTTTTTATTTATATTTAATTTACTTTTATAATAATAAAGTTATTAATTATTTAAGAAATACTTTTATACTTCTAAAATCTAAAATTAACTTTATTATAATTTCTTAGACTTTAATTAAATATAAATAAAAAAAGTATTAAATATATACTTTATTTATTAATATATTTATATTTTATTTTATTAAGAAGTTTATATATAACACCGCGTAGTATATAGAATATAAAGACCTTCCTTTTACCTCTAGCTGTGATAGTATAACGAAGGTTTATTAGTAGCTATAATATAAAGTAGAAAAGATAGTAAGAGGAAGAGGTTCCTAAGGAGCCTTAAGAATAAGTAGGGAGAATATAGCTGCTAGTGAACTAGGCTAATCCTAGGTTTACTATATAACTCTAGCCTTATAGCTTTATAACGTTAGCCTTACTTATATAACTCGCTTATTATAATTAGTCTATTATATTACTTCTCTCTCTAAGGAAGGCTTATCCCTAAGTCGTGAAAAAATTTCCTACGATTTACCTTAGATATAATAGTATTATCTACTAGTTTATTATATATATTATTATCCTCTACTTCCTAAGCGGTTAGCTATTTAAGAAGTAGCTTAAGTAGTTCTAGTTCTATAAAGTAAGCCTAATAAAAATCCCGAAGTTTATATAGATAAGTTATAAAGTCTCTAGTAAAGTAGAATTTAAGGTTAGGATTAAGTCCCTTCTATTTAGCTTAGTACTATAGAGTCTTATCATATTTAAGGTATACTCTTAAGATATCTTAGATTTTCTATTCTTATTTAATATTAACTTAGATAAGTTCTTATTCCTATAGTACTTATCTAAGTAATAGGTTATTATTATACTACTAAAGCTTATTTATAAAAAATATAAGGTAGACTGTAACTAAAGCTAAGAGGTCTAAGTGAAATAAGTAGCTTTTTTTTCTAAGAACTTTAAATAAGCTTACTTATTAATTATCTAGCTTTTTCTTTAAGCGGTATATCTTCTAGTTTCTTATTATTACTTATATAGAATCGCTTACCTCCTAATTAACTTCTTAGTATAACTTATTTATATTATATTACTTCTTTTCCTATTAGTCACGAAAGAACTCTTAGGCTTTCTTCTAGACCTATTTGTAATAATAAGTAAACGCTTATATATTAGTGATATTTAGCTTCTTAGTAACTATTTATTTAACCTTTAGCTAGGGCTTATCTTAATCTTAATTAGTTCTTAGCTTATACTTATACTTTAACTAGTATAAGAATATTCTTAAAGACTTATATAAGAGAGTTAGCTAAATATAGTTTATTATTAGTAAGAGTTTAGACTAGTTATCTTAGTAGTAGTTAATAAAAGGCCGGAGACACTAATCTAGGTATTAATTTATAATCTCTATCTAATTATCTATCTAAGTATAATAAGTAGTAAAGAGCTTAACTTTAATACTAAGGATATAATAGAACTTATTCTAGAAAGAAGAGATAAACTATAAGCTTCTATCTAATACTATTATTTCTAGGAGCTTATTAAACCTCTAGTAATTAGAGATAAATAGTTATACTAAGTCGCGAGCTATATAAGTAGAGAAATAAGAGATTAATATTACTTCTTTAGAGAAATAGTCTATTATAATAAGTATAGAATTATACTTAAACTTATCTTTTAGTGTACTCTTAAAGTCTATAGTTAAGTATTACTATAAGTAGTTAGGGATTAGTAAGAGGTAAAGGTACCTTAGTGTCTTATCTTAATAATAGTTTATATAATTATAAGCTAGGTAGTTTAATATAAACCTAGCTATATCCTTAAGTATACTAAGCTAGTAGTACTTAGTATAGAATAAGCTAAATATCTTAGACTTCCTAGGATAAGCTATAGAGATTTAGTTATAAATATACTAGATAAGTTATATATATAAATTATCTATATCCGGGACTTATAATTAACTTTTAAATAAGAGTAAGCTATCTTCTTAGAGAGTATACTATAAATCAGGCTCTTTTAATTCTTCCTATTAAACTATTAGAGCTTTATATATTCGATTAATATAGATAAGCTCTATAACTAGATTAGTTTTATTATTTAACTTAAACCTAACTAAGGCTAAGTAGTATATATCTAAGAGCTTCTCTAGTTCCTTTAGAATACGTGAGTCTAGCTAACTTAGGTAAATTAAGGTCTGAGTATGTAATTTATCTTTTGTCTTAATTTACTTATTAATATCTTATTCTTTTCGCGATAATATATCTACTATAGTATTCTAGTTTCCCGGGCGGTATATAATAGTAAAGTAGAAGTCTACTAGGATCTCTAACTAATAAGCTTATTATCTTATAAGCTTCTTAGTAGTTATAAAGTATTCTAACGCTTTATAATCTAAGAACACTTAGAAATATTAGTATCTTATTTATAATATTAGCTCTACTCTTTAGTAGGTAAGAGAACGTATAATAGTAAGTATTTCCTTATTATAAATATTATAGTTAAGTTTAGTAGGGTTTATTATTTTTAATAGGAATATAACTAGGTACTAACTGTTATTATACTTCTATAATAGTATTCCTAAAATTACTTTATTTAAGGTATTAGTCTTAATCTGTATTTTATATAATATATTATAATACTTAAGATAAGTAGGAGATAGAATAGCCTCTTTTAAAGCTTAGAATATAGCTAGCTAAGTAAGTATTATCTCGAATAGAACTAAAGCCTTAGTAAGTTCTATTAGTAGTTTAGTAACCTTATTATAGTTAAAGATAAATTTCTAGTAGAAGTTATAGAACCTTAAGAATAACTAGATACTCCGGATTATTATAAAGAGTTCCTAATTATTTATATATATTATCGCCTTAGAGTTAATCTTAATTCCTTTAGTAGTAATATAAAAGCTAAGGAACTTAATCTTCTTAATATAGAATTCGCTCTTCCGAATATTAATAAGGAGCCTATACTATTATAAGTATTATAGGACTTTCTTAATATATACCTTATATTCTAAGGGGTTATTTAAGTAGATAATAATATTATCTAAGTATATAGTATAGAAATTATCTAAGTAGTTAAAGAGTATATTATTTATATACCGCTGGAATATAGCTAAGCTATTTATTAAACTAAATAGTATTACTTTATACTTATAGCTCTTATATTAAGTATAGAAAGTAGTATATTCCTTAGATATAAGGTCTATTCGGATCCGGTAGAATATACTTTAGATATTAATCTTAGTGAAGATCTTAGCTTATCCTAATTAAGTAAATACCTTATTAATAAGAAGTAAGAGATACTTATCTTTCTAAGTAATCTTATTTAATCTTTAGTAGTTAATATAAAATCATAAGCTTTTATTAAGTTTCTTTATAAAAAGAGTTAGATAAGTAAATAAAGTATAGCTTAAGATAATAAAGCTCTTATCTAGATTCTCCTCTAAGTATTTCTTTATTACCTAGAGCTCTACTTCACTCTATTAGTATAAGGGACTATACTTATAGTTAATATCCTTTTCTAGTTTAATCTTATAATCTAAGCTTAAGATAAAGTCTAGTAGAGAGTTAGTAATTATTTTTAAGAAGGTACTAGTGAACTCTTTATACTAGCGAGGGAGCTTCTTATCTAAGATATCCTTATATAATTCCTTAGGTTCAGAGGAACTTTATAACTTAGCTTTCTAAGCTACTTAGTTAATTACCTTATTAATTTTATTTAGTATTACTATAAAGAATTCCAATCTAAGAAGCTATAGGATATAATAGAATACTATAGTATTAATCTTAGCGATATCTATCTTTAGAGGAGTTTTCTCTTTCTTAGTAAGGTACTAATAAGAGGATACTATATCCTTTGGAACTATAGTAGGAGGTTTATATAAAGTAGAGTTATATAGTTCTTTTTCTATCTATCTAATTAAGTCCTATACTTAGCTATTATAAGTTAGGGTAAAAGGCTCTCGGATAATCCTTTAATTTTCCTAGTATTATTAGTCTTGTTTCTTTTCTAACTAATAGTATTTCTTCTAGTTCTTTCACTTTATTATATAATATTTTTAAGAAGAAAGGGATAGGTATTAAGATTTAGTAGATAATATATTTATAAGAGCGGATTCTCTTATATCCCTTACTATTTAAACTATTATTTAGTAAAGAGAGAGTCTTAGAGTATCCTTTATATCTATAGCTACTTAATATTAGAATATATCTTATTAGTTAGTTACTTATATCTTTAATAAGTCTTATAGTTATAAGGTATCTTAAGAGAGAGGAATTAAATAAGGGAAGACTATAAGGATATCCTTATTATATAGCTAAATAAGATAATAGTCCTTTATATTTAATTAAATATTAAAGTAAGCTATCTAAGTTTATCTTAAAATAATCTTATAATTCCTAAGATCTAAGAGAATAAATAAGATCTCTTTCTGAATATATTAGTTAATTAGAATATTTAGAAGAATCGCGTGAGAGGCGATATTATTAGCTTATCTATTATAGCTTTTCACTTATATAAAGTTAAGTAGAAAAGTAAGTTTTATATTAAATTTTCTTATAAGGTCTTTAGTAAAGCGAGTATTAATAAAAGTGAAACTACTTATTCTAGAGTTAGAAAGTATAAGTAATATAATTCTAATACTATTATAAAATAGTATATAAGGGATAATAAAACTTTTATTACTTATTAACTAATATATATTAATCTCCTTAAGATTAAGTATCTACCTTAAGAAAGAGTCTTCTCTTAAGGTTCTAAGTTTTCCGAGTCTAAGGGAATTTCCTTTAAGTTATTAATCTCCTTATTAGAGAAGAGATTAATACTAAA